TTCATGCTCTTCTTTTTGCATTTTCAAAACCAGCCGCACTGACTTTTCCTATCTCTTTGACCTTGAAACTCCTGCCAGCCTCCTAGTGAAAAGAACTCCTAAGAGTACATTGGGACTACCCAGGGAATCCAAGATCAAATCTCATTTCAAACTCCTTGATTTAATACCATCTATGAAGTCACTTTTGCTATGTAAGATAACATATTCAGTTTCCAGAAACTAGGATGTGTGCATCTTGGGGAGTGGGGGAGTAGGGGAGTAGGGAGGCATTATTCTGCCAATGCCAAAGTTTTAAGGTAAAGCATCAGGAGAAGTTTTAAATGAACTTCCCTTGACTTAATCCTTATGCATGTTTATCTTTGGGGCAACTAGTATATGTAAGATTGATCTATGAACAAGAAAATGAAAATAACAGTTTTAGTGTAGAGTTTTTACATTACTCTGTTGTTTTGTGCTAAAAAGCCTTGAAGTTACATGTTGAAACTCTTATTATAAGATTCCATTAATGAAAGTTGGTAGCAATAACAATAAGATAGTATTCTGCCAGTAGCAGTATTTTGATGAGTCTATTTTTGATTGAAACTATATTTTATATTAAATAAAAAAACACTCCTGGCAGCATCTTAAACTACTATTGACTTCAATGAATTTTTAATATAAACAGTTCTGTTAAAGAGCCTTCAAGATAAGAATTTCCCTTTGTATACATTTATAATGTGTGTATTTATAACCTAAAAACCTAAAGATATACTTGAATTTCTCAATGTATTAATCTGTAAAGTTTTTCTCTGTAAAAATAGATGTGATTTTAAAAGTGATATAAAAGTTAAGTGTGATTTAAAAGTAAGTGAGATAATATATGTGAAAATGTGATACAGTTGGTGGGCCGTGATAAATAGCTCTTCAATAAATTTTTAGCCTAATCCAAAATATATTCTGTGATATTTGATCACTAATATTGAAACATGTTTCTATAAATACTGCAGATGAATAACATTGTGGATGTTGTATATTAGTAAATTTACCAAATTTTAAATATTTGCTTGCCCTACAAAGTAAAGTAAAATTTTTAACATGAGCATTTAGTTCACTGCTCCATTCATTTAAAATGGCTATTTTGGGGCTGGCGCTGTGGTGTGGTGTGGTATGGCATGGCAGGTAAAGCCGCCGCCCGCAATGCCGGCATCCCATATGGGCGCGGTTTGAATCCTGGCTGTTCTACTTCCAATTCAGCTCTCTGCTATGGCCTAGGAAGGCAGTAGAATATAGAACTCCAGCTGTTGCAGCCATTTGGAGAGTGAACCAGTGGATGAAAGACCTTTCTCTCTCTCTCTCTTTCTCTCTCTCTCTCTGTAACTCTGCCTTTCAAATAAACAGTTTTTTAAAAAATAAAAGAGTAAAATGGCTGTTTTTTCAGATTATTAACCAATCCATCAACTTTTCCCATGTATACACATGGTAACATTGGGACTTTTTAAATTCTATTTAAAGGTGCTAGCCGGCGCCGCGGCTCAATAGGCTAATCCTCTGCCTTGCGGCGCCGGCACACCGGGTTCTAGTCCCGGTCGGGGTGCCGGATTCTGTCCCGGTTGCCCCTCTTCCAGGCCAGCTCTCTGCTCTGGCCCGGGAGTGCAGTGGAGGATGGCCCAAGTCCTTGGGCCCTGCACCCCATGAGAGACCAGGAGAAGCACCTGGCTCCTGCCATCGGATCAGCGCCGTGCGCTGGCAGCAGCGGCCATTGGAGGGTGAACCAACAGCAAAAGGAAGACCTTTCTCTCTCTCTCTCTCTCACTGTCCACTTTGCCTGTCAAAAATAAATAAAGGTGCTAGTAAATTGTGAGGAAAATTCTGTTGATTTCATCATATTCAATATAGTATATTCAGAATTAAGCTGTCCACAAAATAACTGAAGGTAAAGCTAGAAGACAGCAGTTATTGAAGAAGTAAATCACAAAATAGATGTTTTTGATGGTTTGAAATTACCTTCAAGTTGCACCATTTCTAATTTCATCTGTAATTCCATGTTCCTATCTCCTTATTTTGATTAAATAATGTTCCTTTACATTCACTGTCTATTTTCTTTTTGTGAACTTGTCAAATCATCCCTGTCTTGTGTAATTTAATGGACTTTTATGTAGCTCTCTGAGAGACTATCAAACAGTCCGACTGGAAGAATAATTTACCAGGTTCGAGATGAAGGGTCATTATTAACGTTGTCTTGCTACAGTGAATGCATAGGCTCTTGAGTTTGTGCGTGGCAGGATTTTGACCAAATTAACAGAGGTAGATGCTTCTAAAGCAAGAATTACGCCTAATATATCATTGATTACATAAACTTACTTTGATTTACAATTTTTAAAAATGAATGTTTAATGAGATTAGAGAACTATTTTAAAAACTGTTTTTGGGTTTAGAGTTATCTCAACTTTCACACAAGTATTTCTTTGGCTAAAGCCACCATTAGAAGTTGTAATTTTATATGTCCTTAGGTTAATATCTACTGTACAGTCAACATCTGAAATAATTTGCATAGTGAATATTCTACACTATGAAACTAAGTACAGAGGGAGAGCAAACAGAGTGGATTTTCTCAGCTTTGAAGAGAGGTTGATTTTCAAGTGTTTTTCCTCTATTAAAGTACCCCTGACTTGTGTTCAGCAATTATTGGTACTAATGATGTTTATGTGGCTAGAAGGAAATAACACTTTTTCTTATCATTTCAGTGTCCAGGGTCTCTTTTATTACAACAGACAAATCTAATGACTTCTCCTGATTAATCTCAATAACTCTGACTTGAATCATGAAAAATTCCTTTCCAGTCAAAGTGAAATCCTTAATATTTCCAGGAGACTTTATTTTTTCAGAAGTACATGATATGAGGGATGCAAATATGAGAGCATATTAACTTTTAGCTGACGGACAGCTGTACTAGAAAACTAAATGTTTATTGGAGTATATAAGGATATTTTCAAAAGCACATGGAAAATGGAATTAAAAGATAACCATATCTGCCGGCGCCACGGCTCACTAGGCTAATCCTCTGCCTGCAGTGCCGGCACACCGGGTTCTAGTCCCGGTTGGGGCGCTGGATTCTGTCCCGGTTGCCCCTCTTCCAGGCCAGCTCTCTGCTGTGGCCCGGGAGTGCAGTGGAGGATGGCCCAAGTGCTGGGCCCTGCACCCGCATGGGAGACCAGGAGAAGCACCTGGCTCCTGGCTTCGGATCAGCGCGATGCGCCAGCGGCAGCAGCCATTGGAGGGTGAACCCACAGCAAAAGGAAGACCTTTCTCTCTGTCTCTCTCTCTCTCTCACTGTCCAATCTGCTTGTCAAAAAAAATTTAAAAAAATAAAAAATAAAAGATAAGCATATATGGGTGCAGATATTCCTGTGCAGTTAAAATTCCTCTGCAGTTCTTTCATAATATTCATTTTCCATGAACTTTTTGAAGTACTCATATTTATTGATATGTTTTGTTATTTTTATTAAAAGATTTATCTTATTTACTTACTTGAAAGGCAGATAGACATAGAGAAGAGAGAGCAAGATGTTCATCTGCTGTTTCACTCCGCAAATGCACACAACTACCAGGCCTGGGCCAAGATAAAGCCAGGAACCAGGAACTCCATCTGGGTCTTCCAGGGGGGCGGCAGGAACCCAAGTACGTGGCCTTCATCTGCTGCTCACAAGCAGTGAGAAGGAAGCTGGATCGTGAACGCTGGAGTAGCCATGCCTCAAAGCAAGCACTCCATATGGGACACGGGCATCCTGAGCTGCCGCTTAACCCAGTGCACTGTAACTCCTGTCTGTTTCGTTATATGAAACACAGCCTATAAATCTGAAGCCTCATGTCTAGGATTCAACTCTTCCTCTTCGCAGTTCCCCTAGTATTTTCACTGAACTCATCACAGTGTGCTCATTTCTTTATATGCTTTCTTGTGTGTGTTTGTATAATGTCCTGTCTTAGATGCTGGACTTTCTACATTACCCATTCACCTTGAACGTAAAGAAATAACTGCTAGTATTGAGCTCTGGCTAAGTGCCGGATGTGATTCTTTGCTTTTTGTATTAATTCCTTTCATCTTCAAACCAGACAAAATGAGTACCCCTATAATCTTTGTATTTAGGCTAGGAAATAAACATAACAACATAATCAAATCTGACCAGAGTCATAGAGCCTGTCGCCCAACCTGTTTTGATCAATACATAATGCATCTATGTACTGAAGCATCATGTTGTACTCCTGAAATGTATCTAGTGCTTATCCATCCAAAAAAGAAAAAAGAGCCACTGACACATAGCCACCACCCTGCTTTGGGAGACCCTGAGTGAGTGTATTGACCCATGGTTGACTCTCTGGGCACCATGTACTCCTTCTTACTCTTCAGTACCATTATGATTTTATTTGTGTGTTTCTGTTCATATGATTAATGTCTTTCCCTCCCACCATGCCAGAATATTAATGCAACACCTAATATTTGATGGAGCAGAATTAGCAGCTATTATTGATTAAGCAATTGCCACATACAAGGCACTGTATCATATTTTGATAAGCCTCAAAAAGACTCTATGAGATTCTTACTAATTTACTTCATCAAACATGAAAAAACTGAGGGAGAGAAAGGCTAGATGACTTGCCCGAGATTACACAGCTAGTAAATGGTACAGCCAGGATTAAACTCACAGGTCAAGCTCTAGATCAATGCTATAAATGAAAGAACCAATTGAATCATGGAAATCTAGATTGGAGCATCTCAATAGTAACAGGAAGAGATAATTTGACATATCTGAAAGGAAAAATGGAAAAGACAGAAGCAACATTCCAAGCAGAACAACACTGATCAAGTACCATCTAACAGTGTGCCGGCAATATAATAGGTGCTCGATAAATGTAAATGAAGAAATGACTATATTTATTGCTCCTGGATGAAGGCTTTTGTACATGTTTCATTATTAATGCTGTATTTCATTGTTAATGCTGTGTCCTTTTTTCCTTTCTTTCAGTGCCACCGTGGGCCTTAATTGCCATAGCCATAGTTGCAGTTCTCTTAGTCTTGACCTGCTGCTTTTGTATCTGTAAGAAATGTTTGTTCAAAAAGAAAAACAAGAAGAAGGGAAAGGAAAAGGGAGGAAAGAATGCCATTAACATGAAAGACGTGAAAGACTTAGGGAAGACCATGAAAGATCAGGTAATGTACTCATTCCTTATTTCTTCTTGAATTATTTTGTTGAGAATTATTATCTTATGCCTGATCATTAGAGAGACTGACAACATCTGGACATATCTCTGTTGCAGAGATGCTTGGCGATCCTTGCAGTCATTACTCAACACACAGAGTGTCATGGAGACGTTTGGCAGGGTTTTCCAGTCTCCTGAGCACATGGCTAAGAAAAGGGCACCCGTGACCATGGGGCCCAGCTCAAAGGGTCCCGTTTACCAGAATGAAGCCTCACTATTTTGATTCCATCTCTTTGGTCAGTCTTTGCAGTATTCAGAGAGAGAAAAACAGAATGAAGTGTCTCTCTTCAGATCTTGCTTTGTCACTGTTCCTAGTCACTGTTAATCCCTGTTATATCTGTTCATCAAGCTTGATGAAAGCGGCCATGCGGCTCAGTCACTATTTCTCAAGAATAATGAGTTATACAGGGAAAGAGAGAAAAATGCACACATGAGCCAGTCCTAGAAACAGGACCGATCTGAAGACAAGTTCTTATTTTCTCTCTTAGGGACAATTAGAGCTATAATGCTGGTGACAGAAATGCTTCTGGCTAGGTTATCTTCTCAAGTCTGAGGTCCTTTATGTCACAGTCTATTTTGAACTAAATTAACTGAAGAATTTAGTTCAAGATAAAGTTTCCTAATAATAATAACTACTAAATGCCTGTTTATTTATTAAAATAGATAAAATATTTCTAAAGCCATTTAGTTCATGTGAAATTATAGATGTAGAGATTTTCATATGAAAAACAGTTTTTTATCAATGGTTCCCCTTGAATAATTCTGAAGCTCTACTTGTTCCCAAATAACAATATACACAGGTAATTTTAGAAATTCCTCTAATACTGTGAGTTGAATTCTTATATACGTGAATCTCCTTAAGAACAATTTAATCAAGTGTTATGATAGGCATCTTGAGTATGAGGGTACTTCAAAAACTTCATGAAAAACATGGCAGCCAGGATGCCATGTGGGATACTCACAGTTCACATCAGAGAGCCTGGGTTTGAGTCCCAGCCTGGCTCAGACTATCTGTTCTTGCTAATAATGTGCACACTTGGCAGCAGATGATGGCTCAAGTAGTTGAGTCCCTGCCACCCTTGTGTGAGACCCAGAATGAAACAGTAGATAGAAGCATGCTCGCTCGCTCTCTCTTCCCAGCTACCTGCTCTTTCTTAAAGATTTATTTATTTATCTGAAAGGCAGAGTTAGAGAGAGAGAGGGGAGACTGAGAGATCTTCCATCTGCTGGTTCACTCCCCAAATGGCCACAACGGCCTGGACGGGGACAGGAGCTCCATCTGGGTCTCCTATGTAGGTGGCAGGAGCCCTAATATGTGGGCCATCCTCCACTGCTTTCCCAGGAGCATTAGCAGGGAGCTGGATAGGAAGTAGGGCAGCTAGAACCCAAACTGTCACTTATATGAGACTCTGCCATCACAGATGGCAGCTTAACCCACTGCACCACAATGCAGCCCCCTCTGCCTCTCAAATACGAGATGGATTGGGAGAAAGATGTTCATTTTGGTACAAAAAATTTTTTAAATTTCTGCATAGCGATTTTTTTTATAGGTGCTTTTTCCATAAACTTTTGGAAGACTCCTTATATGTATTGATATTAAAGATGTTTGTAATAAATACATTTATCTTTTCCTTCCAGTTCCATTAACTTTTTGAAGTACTCTCATGTTTGCAGTTTTGTAACTATAGACTCACAACTTGAACCCCCTTCCCAGTTTGGGTACTGAATGTCTTCTTAAAGACACTGTAGTATCTGTTGACACCAGTTTGACAAAGGCTCTCTGTACTTTGTTCTGACTCCCTAAACTTTGCATTCAGGATTTGGGACGGATGCAGTACCTGTGCCTGTGCTCAGAGAGCTTTGGTCTGAGCTTAGGGTAACATGGCTGCAATTTTCCTGAGAGATTCTAATCACCGTCACAAGAGCCCATGTACCAGTGTTCACCTGCAGATGTCTAATAAGGATTTTTTCCCTTCTATTAATTTTTAAATAGAAACCGAAAGTTTAAAATCCTGTCTTGCTTTATCTGAACATCTTCCATAGAAAATAGGCCTTGGTAAAGGGTTCTTTACACAAGTTTTTGGGAGATTAAGTATGGAAAAAACCTCCTACATGGACAGAGACTTGCTAGTATGTATGGTACTTTTAGCTGAACCACAAAAATAAATAATTTGAAAATACAATACTTACATTTTCATAATTACCAAAAAATTCATATTTGGTTTCTTTGTATCCTAGAATGAACAATTAGAGTCCTGAATACTAAATGATAACTATAGCATTTCTTGCTATGACAAGAAATCTGTATTTTTACTTATGTAATTTGTTTTGTATGATGTAATATTGTAACTTGTAACATAGTGGTGGTATTTATTACCCCTGTTATGACCTGGATAAATGACCAAGATCTCAATTAAAGAGAACTGGTGGTTAATTTTTCATTGATCACCTATTTCCTTGGGTGAGCCTCGTTGGGCAATGCTAAGAAACAAGTGATAGTTTATAATAATCTGTTATTACAAAGAATTTGGAACTTTCTACCATTCAGCAAAGGAGATTTTCATAGTTTTAAGTAAATCAATGAGTCTATGTAAAGGACTTTATCCTAGGTCTTATGTTTAAATTATGTACAATTAAATGCACAGGATGGAATTTGGACGGTAAAAATAGAGCCTGAAACATCTATATAACAATAGCTTCTACTACATTTGCAGTCACACAAAAGTATCTAAAAATAGTTTGTATCCATTTGTGAAGAGGAAGGCTAAAGAAGCAAAATAGAATGTGTAGATTTTAAGAGGATTATCAGATCATCCAAATTCAAAAGTACATACAAATTAAAATTTATAGTTTGATGGTCAAAATATTGTGAACACAATATGGAACTTGAGAAAGACAAAAACGATATTTATGCCTGTCTCTTTAAAACAGGACAGATGTGTAAGGCATTTTAGATGTGATTTCTTAAGATACATAGACTCTAGGGCCATGAGAAAGGTTTTGCTGTTTCAATCCATATCAAGGTCACAAAAATTCAAGTTCATGGCTGCATGTCTTTATAGTAAGGTCTTATACTCAAGAAAAAATTTTAAAATATTCCTCAATGAGTATAAAAAGCAACTGTCCTGAAGATATTTAAGGTGTATATAGGTTCTGTTTTATGCCCTAGAACTTGGTAACACGAGAATGCAGAGGGATGGCATTAACTGTAAATCAAAGGTCTGGAAAGGTCATTTCTCCATGGTTTTCACTAATGTGTGTGGATATCTTAATTTTTACCTCTTCCTTCTATGTCCTCCTTATCTGTGTTGTGTCTCATGACTGTTCGGGACTGTCCCTTGCGGTAGGTCTCCTCTGCTACCTAGACTTCCCTAGTCTACGCTCAGATACATTTAGTGGCCTGCCAGCTGGGGCTCCACAGCTGAGGGTATACCATTCTGACACACATCAAGAGGCTGAACTAAATTGATTCTTTTTAAGATCTGATATTCTTATTTTAAATGTTGCTAACATCAGTTAAATATCACGGTATTAGAAAGCTCAAGTTTTAAACTAATGGACACAGAAGGAAAAATCTAATCCCTTGTGTTAACATTTTAGTGGGCCTCACCAAATGGCATGTGAGCAATGTAACTTAGAATGAACAAATGCTCCTTCTACTGGTTGTGAACTGAGCGCTGTTGGAATGTCAAAGCAAACCATAAGCATCTGCACTAAAGCTGTGAAATTTAAAATAAGGTCTGATGTTCCCGACACAGCTTTTTCCACTGCAATTTATCAAACCTCAGAACTGCTGGATTTACAAGATTTTTCTTCCCAATTTTCTTCCATGGGGGAAAAAATATTGCTCTCGAGATATTATAATAGCTACTGATTTAATAGGTCTGAATTTAATGTGAATAGTACAGAAAATGTCTTGCTTAAGCTCAGCCTTTGGGACAGGAATAGACTTAATCACTTCAGTGATGAACAGTGGCACTGAGAAATTATCAAAAATTTAGCCTTATTTCATGCAGAATAATTGCAGAGAGAGTCCTGCACCTTCTATTCGGGCTGAAACCACTTAGGGAGAAGGAGATTTAATATCTCAGCTATTTCAAATTGCACTGGGCTGAAACATGATATATAAATTATCAGTTCTGAAAGAGACTTTTGAAAAGACACTTTAATCCATAATTTTTATTATGATGATAGAGTAACATGCAGATTCTTCAGACAGAAGTACACATTATATGGTTTGCTATCATTTCAAATAATTAAATCTTAGAGGGAGGTGAATTACCTATGTGGCAATTTTCTAAGCACATCCTCTATGACGATATTAAGGACTTGGACACAGCTAAAATTTTGAAGCGGCGTTGGGTTTTCACTGCCTAAAGTTTACTAATGAAACTCAGTAGACTTTTCTTGACTCTATACTAGCTCATACTGCCTTTATTGACCTACCCTCCTGTCAATTTAAAAGAGTAATATAAATTGGTAAATAGTTATATTGTTTCCTCCTTTTGGCTGTCAGTAAATCAACATTTTAATGTTCAAGGAATCATCCAAGTATAAACTAAACAGTGTGTAGCTAACTAAACTTGCAAAGACCTTCACACAGAGGTAAATATAATAGTAATTTTCAGCTTCCCAAACTCAATGTAGGTGCCCAAGAAATTTCAAGACGCACAAAAAGGGAGGCCTCTGTGACAATGGCTCAACTCTGCTATCCGGTCTTCTCACTCAATGAGTTCTGTTAATCTGTGATGCATCCAAGTCTTGATATGTTAGGACTGGATTGGGAGTTACTTGAGTGGAGCCAAACTGGAAAATGTTGTGACTTCAGGGACTGCAGGTGCCCCTGTGAAGCATTGCTGGGGTCCCCGGGTCAGCAAGCTGAGCGACCAGACTTTCTTCTGAGAATGACGAATGCAGCAAAAAGACCACGTAGTCTGGGGATGGCGTTTGCAAGGTGCTATAGCTACAGTCTGATGACTCCCCTAGCTATGTGAAGCCTGGTTACACTTGCATTTGCATTCTCTAAGAATGCCCAGATTGCAGTTGAGAGCTGACCACAGTCAAAATCCTCTACTTTGTCTGATACACAAGTATATTGCACTCCACTGCTTGTATGCCTTACCTTGATTTCTGAGAGATTCTACAGTAAACACATACATACATACACACAAAAAGCAATGAAAATTTCATATCCAAACACTAGAAGACAATGTCTGCTATATGAGGCAACAACCACAAAGACTGAGATCATTAAAAAAAAAAAAAAAGAACCTCTACAAGGTGACAAGAAAAAGGTAAACAACACGCAGAAAAAAAATTAGCAAAGGACACATAGTCCCCCAAAAGAAAAAATAAAAATAGTTAAAACAAAGGTTTCTAAATTTTTCAACACCACTTATAGTCAGGGAAATGCAGTATTTTATGATTTTTAAGTTTAAATCTTGACCAGTAGATAGATTTCAAATTCATCATTCTAATTATTTAAAGCAATCAGAAGGCACATCTGTAGAAACAAAGCTTCAAATATTTATAACCTTTGATATTTTTAGCAAAACTTTTGCATGTTAGGGAAATGTGTCTATTTTCATGTTCAAAAGAGGAGCATTTGAACATATTTTATGAGATAATGAGCTTTCTAGTATTTCAATTTCTATTACACTTAAGTCTTAGTCATAAAGAATATTCAGTTGATCAGACTGAGTTTTGAGAGTCCAATACTATGATTTTTGTCCAGTGCAAAATGGGTTTCTAATGCCAATTTGTTTTTGACAAAATTGCACACATAACTCATCCTTTGATATCAAATAGACTCTTAAATCAATTTAATTCAGCCTAGCTTCTTGTGGAGCTGTGATGAAAATGAGATGGTAAACATCACCTGGAAGTGGGGTAAACTCTCTTTAACATGCATTTGCTGGGAGCATGTGTTCTCCTGTTTTTCCTAAACCATTAGAAATATATTTGTGAAACATAGGAAATTGCAATCTTCTGAGGGGCTCACTCGCTGAACTATTTTTTTTTCATAGGTGATAATGCAGCCAAAATCCATGCATTTCATATAAATTACTCCACTGCATGTAGCAATGATGTTTTACATGACGCTGAGTATCTCTTTAAACTACAAGAATGTGAAACCAGGCCTGGTTTTCAGCATGTTTATCACACATACCTCTGAAAGAAGCAGTTTTAGCAGAGCCAAATATAATACCAAGTTGACATTTTCTTTGCAACAGTTTTACATGTTTTGCTTGCAATATTCTGAGGGGCTTCTTCCATTGCTTCCATGTTGCTTGCTGATGGGGGGAAATTCCGTGCACAAATGGAATTTAAAAAAAATACATAAGCAGCAAATGTGAATGTGTGTCAGACAAACAGATTCCCAGCATCTTATTGCTTGCTTCTGACAGCTTGGAAGTATATTTATAGGCCCAGTTTAATTCAGATTGCAATGAAAATTCACTTGAATTCACATACAATCCATTTTTGCTCATAGGCCCTCAAGGATGATGATGCTGAAACCGGATTGACCGATGGGGAAGAAAAAGAAGAACCCAAAGAAGAGGAGAAATTGGGAAAGCTTCAATATTCACTGGATTATGATTTCCAGAACAACCAGGTCTGAAGGGGAAAATGTCTTCTAATTCCATTACATTTTCTGAAATTACTAAGTAGAATTTGAAGCAAGATACTTCTTAAAACATTTCGTTTGCTGCAAGAGGAAAATGCAATTATCAAAGCTATTGATGAAATAATTTCTAAGTACAGGCAGTCCCCTACTTGCTAATTTAACTTCGGGTAATTAGAATTCACAGTATTCAACCGATTACATCTACTTCTGGCACTTAGAGCAGGCAGGCGGAATACAAATGAGCATGAAGCAGTCCATCCACCCTCAGAGCTCCAGCAGCCTGGGCCCCACAGGTCTCAGCCTGAACTGAAGAGCCATTTGTTAGGCTTTATGGATTCAGATCCAAACAGGGCTAGGGATATCTGAGTTGGGTCACCATCCACGCCCAGCTTTTGAAAGATCATCTAACAGCTTGATAAGGCAAACAAGATTTCCCATAAATTTTGAAGGTAGGACCGCCTTAAGTGACATCATGATACTAGCTAAAACTATAAATGCTAATGAGAGCAATTCTACGAAAGCAGAAAGGCCAACAACCTGATTTCTATCCTGCAAATATTGCTCCAAGTGAAAAGAAGCTAAAAAGATAACAGGCATTCCTTCCTACTGCAATTTCTCAGAAAAGTGGTGATGTGTCAAATAGATAAATGATAATTTTGGCTACCTTTTATTGATCGCCTATTGGCTGAAAAATAACTGTTAAAAATCGCCCTACATTCAAAGACCTTCCAGGATCCATGACTCTAAGATATCTCTTTACTTTCTTAATTAATAGGGAAATGTAAAAGGTATATAAGAATTAGTGGAACTGTTTGAAAACCAGGTTCTTAAAAATCTTTAGGACATGAGTGGTATACAGATATATGCTCTACTATCAAAAACAAGTTTCTTTGACCCGCTTCTTTATAGCCCAGGCTAGTTATCGTAATACATTCTAGAAAGCTGCATGTTGCTTCCTCGGTGTAAGTTTATAAGTAGGAATTCATGTGGGTGTATATATAAATATCCTTTATACATAATTAAAAATGGCATTTGAGGACATTTCTATCACTTCTATCAAAGATTGAGCATTGGAACGTGGTTAGGCACAAAATCTATTCATATATTCTAGGAAAGGTCAAAATCAACTTACATTATCTTAATATATAACATGTTTTCCAGAAATTTAACTTTATATATACATGTAATTTTTTTCTATTTTATTCCCACTTCATATTTTCCAGTAGAAATCTAGTGGTATCTCATCCTGATTAGTCATAATTCTGAAACTTCTAAGTTGGCTTTAGTCACTACCAGCATCATTTCGTAGAGTAGTAGCAATTTTAAGAAAATTGCACTGAATTATTTTTTACTCTAACATAACTGATAATTGCACTAAATTTTTTTACTCTAACATGACTAATAATTGCACTGAATTATTTTTTACTCTAACAAAAGTATAATAATACCCTCATTATTCCTTCTTCAGCAAACATTAAATCTAAAAAGACATTCTGTTCTAAGCATCTAGAAGATTTTGCCCGATGATTTTTTTTAAATATTATGCATTGGTCTTTACAAATCCTCTGGTGGCTAATTTGTTTTATAGGATGATTCCTAAGAAGCAAAGAAGATAAAGTCTGAGGAACTTTGTAGATAAAACTACAGCCAAACATGCCTATTTTTGCTTACCAAAAGATAACCCTGAAATACTCTAATTAAGAAACTTCATGGATAGAAATGTGAAATGTATGTTAGGCAAAAAGCAGCGGGAGATGGGAAGAAGGCATTCTATCCTTTATTAACCATCCAAGATTCTCTAAAATATAAACGATTGGGTTTTAAAGAGTTTTAGCTATCTCTAGTGTTTTCCCTGCTCAGAAGCAAAATTGCCAGTAAAAATTGAGAATGAGGAAATAGAATTTTTGCTATTCACATTGCTACATAAAGGCAAATACCAAATACAAATTTAGCAAACCAAGAGACAGACTGTTTGCTTTACTAATCATGTCTTTATAATCTGATGCCTCTTTTAGCTATCCTTGGACCATCTGTCTGTGTGTTGCATAGCTACAATCCAGCACTCAGTGCTGTTTTATGATACCACAAAAAAGATATTACAGTTGTAACATGGAAACAATATCATCAGTCAGGGTATTGATCCAGCTTAAAAATTCAGCCAGCTCTCCAAAATGCACTTAAGAATATGGTAGGTCAGTTTTATTAAAAAAAAAAAAAAAAAAAAAACCAGGTGTGAGTGACTTGAAGAAGGTGAATAGTTTTCATATTCTATTGCCTAGAAAGACTCTAGATCAAATTTTCAGGCTCTACTGTGAAAACACGTGGTGTGACTGCATTTGCTGAATAGTATGTACCTAGAATAATAGTAAGAGTCTACTCTTTGTTTCCCGAATAAGCCTAAGCCCGTCAGTTGACACAAAATCTCTGATGGCATGGTATCCAAAACATTCTACTCACACGATTTAAAAAAAATTAATAATGCCATAATATTCTAATATATCAAAAGTGGCTTAAAACTGAATTGTTGAGAAAATAGTCTTAAAGCAATGCAGAGATTCTGTTATATTTGGAAAAAAATCCAAAAAATACCTACATTGCACTAAAAGAAAACTCACTTTCCTGTCTAAGGGGCTGAAATTATATTTCTTTGGCTGTGTGTCCTATTACTTAAACAAAGGAGTTAATGGGTAATAATTTTATAGCAAGTTAAAAGCATAGCTAATGTATGAATAAAGATCAAATGTGATGGAAACTTGAAGGTCTTAAATTTTAATCTCAAAATGCTACATTATTTCTAATGAATTTCTACTAGCTGATGTGAGGCTTTGGTAAAGGATAAAAATATCCTACTTCACAATTATAGACTTGGTGATTGTTTAATGATTTATTTCTATGTAGAAATCATGCCCTGGAAAGAAAAAACAATGCATGAGAGCTTTTAGCAACTGGAAGCTTATTTGATTGCAACTCTTCTGGAAATATGAATTCCCTATCTAACTGTAATCAGTAACCTTTTAAAAACCTCTTTTGTGCTTAAACAGGCTTCCTAGAGCCTGCATCTGTCATAATTGGGTTTCTGAAGTCTGTATAGCACTCTTCATTTGCTTTCTGTGTTCAGATTCATAAGAGAATAAAAGTTTATTAGAAGCAAAGAGGAACAGGGAGAAATCACAATATGGAGCATTAGGGGCAAATCAATTTTCTCTAAAGCGTGTACCACTGTCTGAGCATGCTGTCTTCTCTTGTCCGTTTCAGCTGCTGGTAGGGATCATCCAGGCTGCCGAACTGCCCGCCTTAGACATGGGGGGTACTTCTGACCCCTACGTCAAAGTGTTTCTGCTGCCCGATAAAAAGAAGAAGTTTGAGACAAAGGTCCACCGGAAAACTCTTAACCCTGTCTTCAATGAGCAGTTTACTTTCAAGGTAATTTTTTTTCGATTATTTAAAAGGCTGATCACACCCTGACAAATATGTGGACATTGCACATGAACACCTTCTCTGGGACTCAAATGATTCTATTCAGAATATTTTATATTTAGTCTAATGATGACTCTATATTGCCTTTCACTGTAAGCAAAATGGGATTAAGCTCTGTTATTGTGGAATGGAGTACAGACTGGAATGTGACTAAGGTGTCACAGTCACATCTGGAAAGTAGGGTCTGCATCAAGTGTGCCGATAGGTTTAGACACTCCCCCCTCTAAATTAATTCCAAAAAAGTTACAATCATTATTTTGCTGAGTTTCAAAGGTCCTAAATTCAATTGCAGAATAAAGTAAGCTCTGTTCCAGTGCTCAAATGGTAGACATTTCTTCATCTACAAAGGCCAGTCCAAGCACTCTAAAACTATTCTTCTTAACATCAATATTTCTCTACTCTTTCCTCATGTTCATCATCTTGTTGAAACAGTTCATTTTGCAAGTAATAACAAGGAGGAATTCTGGCTATGTAATAACCAATCAGGAAAACATGACCTGCAGGCCTGCTCTTGGCTTGAAGTCTTCATAAAAAAGATTCTTTGATGCAAATCTTTAAAAAGTAAGACTTCTTGAATGTACTACTTTGGATAATACATTTCTTAAAAATGAAATGCCTGAGAATATACCAGTAGGTTGACTCGAAATCACCCCTTCAGGCAGGTGTTTTGACCCACCCCGTATCAGAGTACTGGCTCAAGTCCAACCACGCCACTTCTGACCTAGCTCCCTGCTAAGGCACCCTGGCTCACGTGACATCCATATGGGAGACCTGGGCAGAGTTTTTGGCTTCAGCCTGCCCAGCCCATTTAGAGATTGTACCACTGGATGGAAGATTGCTCTTGCTCTGTGTCTCTCTCTGCCTTTCAAGTAGATGAAAATAAATAAGCAGTAAAAAAGTTTTTCACCCAGGCATAGCAGTAGCATATGTCTCAGGCTTTGAAATGAATTTAAAATGAATGACAGCATGAGTCATTTTCTCAAGCCTTGTATTCAGTTTCATAAAGGGGCTCTGTCCCTATGCTATTCTGTTTTGTTTTGTTTTCAAGAAAAAAGTCACTAATATATTCTCAGCAATCCTATTTTAAATATCTAATTCTTCCAAACCCACACAGTTAATTTAGAGTACTGGTGAAAACACTATAGAAACATTCAGCTTATAAAGAGCCAACAACTGTGAGATAACACAAAACATGAAAATTTCTATTTGGTCTCAATTTGTCAGAAATGTCTAACCAGAATTTAAGAAGTCGAATATAAAGTTATTAGAAATAATGTTAGGGAAACTTTGAGTCACCTTTATTTCTTCTTTTTAATATTTATTAATGTATGTGAGAGGTAGACTTACAGAGAGAGACAGGGAGACACAGAGAGAAAGGCTTTCCATCTGCTGCTTCACTCTCCAAATGGCCGCAACAGCCAGAGCTGGCCGATCCCAAGCAAGGAATCAGGAGCTTCTTCCAGGTCTCCCACATGGGTACAGGGGCCCAAGGACGTGGGCCATCTTCTACTGCTTTCCCAGGCCATCAGCAGAGAGCTGGACTGGAAGTACAGCAGCAGAGACTCAGACCTGTGCCCATGTGGGATGCCAGCACTGCAGGCAGAGGCTTAACCTACTATGCCACAGTGCCAAAACCACCTTTGTTTCTTTGAAATAATGCATTGCTGTGAATGCGTGAGTCTAAGAATGCAATTATTGAAACTGAACTTGTCTATAAACTTTTACTATGTTCCATTTTATTTTGGGAAAGTTGATCAAACCATAATGAAATCCAAAGTAAAATGTTTTTTGAAGCACTTAAGAAATATGCCAGTTTTTTAGAGAACTGGTAAATTTTTGCAGTAAACATTGTAGATGATGGTTCTTGAATTGCCAAGAGACAACCTAGGAATGAAAACCTCAGAGAGTTTAAAGAGGATTAGCTTCAAAATTTAGAGCCACTTCAGAAGAACTCAACATGCCCCAAATTAAATTCATCTTCTGTTCCCACAACAAAAACTACTGCTGAAGGACCTAATGATCATTCAACAACAAACAGTTCCCAAGTGCCTACGTGCTAGGTGTTTTATGTTTATTCATCCATCTTCACAATGGTCCCATGAAGTAGGTACCATTACCCACATTTGAGAAGTGAGGAGGCCGATTTCTGTTCACTTGTTTCCAGGCCCTTCAGTGGAAAACTGGGAGGCTTAACTCCAGGTCTCTCTAACTTCAAGCCCAGATTTCTATTGTTGCTGTTTCTGTACAGTCATCGAAAAATCTGGAGAGATTTCAAAAATACGATGAAACCTTCAAGGGTTTATCCATGCACACTCTATTTTGCATTTCTTCCTTTGAAATTCCCTTCTACAAGTTTTCATTTTGAAATTCTCCTAAAATGGAAGAAAATATTATGCCTTGCTTTTAAGTACAGTTTTTTAAAAAAATCAGATTCCTAAGGTTTTTATTTTGTCATTATTTATTTAAGAAAACTACAATTTCTTGTACATTCATGGCCAAATAGTCTTCTTCTTCCCTTCTTAATCTACAGGAGTTGAGAAATGTTTGCCAAGACATAAAACCACCAGTTGCCCTGATAAAGTAATAGGAAGTATATGAAAAATGATCACATCTTTAATACAAGTCTAAACAGTTTCTTCATTAGGCTTTTTTATCCAGTTGCTGAAGTGTAGATTACTTGGATTGCACTGCTTTCACTGAATATTAAAAATGTCACTAGTGAACTCCCAACCCATAGCATCTGTCCCAGATACATTGAACAGCTGGAGATGCCTTCAGTGCCTGGCCCTTTGCCACCGTTCATCCTAAAGGGTGTCAGACCTAAGAATTACCTCAGGATCCATGTTATAATGCATCTCAGATATTCAGAACATCAATTTTCTTGTCAGCTCCTGCCAATCAGTAAATTATTTTGGGGAGCAGCTGAGGCATCGTATGAATTTCATTTACATCTTCTCAGACTCCTAGCATACCTCTTAATAAATTGCTGCTCCATTAGGCTGTGGTATTCAAACAGCTTGAAAGAGTTAATGCAACTTTTGCAACAAGTCATCTGCCCCTGCAAGTTACCACCCGACCATAAAACTTAGAATGCAACAACAAATATTCTACAGGAAAAACTTACACAGCCAAAGCACCCGGCTTGTTTATTCTTTAACGATCGTCAAGTGTTTAGAGCATAACTAATAATAGAACTCATTAATAATAATACTAAGAACTTCTAAAATTTGAGGGATAAGGTGGTATTAAGTCACCATGTCAAGTTCCTGCTCTTTCCCGAGTAATGTATGTCTTAAGTAGAAATCCAAAGATTGAATGTAAGAAAAAAAAAAAAGACATGCAATTATCCTTGTTTTGTTTATCCAGCATAAATATTAAACAGCCTAAGTAAGTAATGGATTATAAACATTTCTGTGACCAGACATTTTATCTCATCTCTTCCTATTTAGGTACCCTACTCAGAACTGGGTGGCAAAACCCTGGTGATGGCTGTGTATGATTTTGATCGTTTCTCCAAGCATGACATCATCGGGGAGTTTAAAGTCCCCATGAACACAGTGGATTTTGGTCACGTAACTGAGGAATGGCGCGATCTGCAAAGTGCTGAGAAGGAAGAGGTAAGACAATGATTAGAATTTCCACTAGGACAAGCCATATTCGTCAGTTGCTGCTCGCATAATAACCTATGGAGAGATGCTCTTTACAAAGGGCTTCTAGCTGTTGACAGCTGGCAAAATAGGGTCAGGGGATTGCATGACCTCGTTAAAAAGTTTACAGGTCTTCTGGGTGTTATTTGAAAGCAAAGAGAATGATTCATGTCCAGGGTTTATAGACATCTCTCTGGACAAACACATACACACAGTTTCTAAAAGCTTACCAAGTGCCACACACATACACATTGTTTACAAGGACAGTGAAAATCATCTTATTCTTCCTACTATCCACAATAATTTAGTATTTTCAACATGGGTTGTATAGCTATTATGCAGCAATCAAATGGCCCTTTTCCCATGGTTATTCCAGTGTGCTGCAGACAGTTCATTGTTTCTGCAGAAGACACCAGAGCATGATGAGTGAAGCATCAAACATAATTCACAGGGGCTGATATTAAATCCATTTTTTTTAATGAGTCACATTTTTTTTTTTTTTTTTTTTGACAGGCAGAGTGGACAGTGAGAGAGAGAGACAGAGAGAGAAAGGTCTTCCTTTGCCGCTGGTTCACCCTCCAATGGCCGCCGCTGCAGCCGGCGCACCGCGCTGATCCTGGCAGGAGCCAGGAGCCAGGTGCTTTTTCCTGGTCTCCCATGGGGTGCAGGGCCCAAGCACCTGGGCCATCCTCCACTGCACTCCCTGGCCATAGCAGAGAGCTGGCCTGGAAGAGGGGCAACCGGGACAGAATCCGGCGCCCCAACCGGGACTAGAACCCGGTGTGCCGGCGCCGCAAGGTGGAGGATTAGCCTATTGAGCCACGGCGCCGGCTCTAATGAGTCACATTTTTATAGTACTCTTCACATTGTTTTTCCCTGATTTTAATAGTTTAGTGCAGTCTCTTTTTCCTTTGTGTGCATGCTTTAAAAAGAGAAGTTCAATATCCTTAGTGCATTTAAGCTACATAATAATCAATTCTATTTGATTATGCTATGCCTGCCTGGCACTGGCATTTTTCTGTGTGAATGTCTCAGCAGGCCGATACCAGAAAAGCAAACAACTGTTAGCTTTTGCAAATTCCTAAAGCAACTTTCTTTCCAGCCACTTTTTGTGTTCTGACATGTAGCTCTGATTACCCAGAGGACTGCAACCAGCCTCATTTATTTGTGATCCCTAGGATTCTGTAAGTTTTGGCCACTTTGGGGCCACTAGGGAGATGAAGAGTGGTCCAAGCCTTCAGAGAAATTCAACCAAGCCCATTATCTGCAAATCCTTTCAGGCTAAGGTTTTCTGTGACCAGTCTGAAGTGACTCACTTTATGCTCCTTCTATGCTGAAATAAGCATGTAGAACAGAGTTGTTGATTGCTGTGCTTAAAATGGATTTTATTTGTGCTCTAAAATTATTTGGTTATAAAAAAGGATAAAAGGAAGTAGAACTACTTGAGGGAAGCTCTGCCTTCTTTACAGAAGGAAATATATGTAGATCTTATCCAAATCCAAAGAGCTATGTCAAAATTCACCCTGTTAGATGGTGCCCTACTGTGGCTATTCAAAAATAACCAAGTACAATACTGTATGGTTTTATTCTGGACTGTTTATAAATAGTTCACCCCTATAGCCGAAGTAATGTGACATTAAAGCCAACATCCATACGACAGGAAACACTCAATGGTTCTAATTATTTTTAAAAGTAGTGGAGCATTTTGTTGACATTTTATCATTCACTGAAATGTTTGACTTTCTCCAAACTCCTAATGTCTGTAGGATAAAGTAAGAGGAGAATGTTTACTAATAGGCTTTTGTTAATTGACTGGCTTGTAGTAGGCTTACGGTTTGATATCAGACTATGAGTCTCCTATGCTTCAGGGTACATGGCTCACACTCTGACCTTCAGTGGGATAACTGCTAGGTTGTGTGGGATTCTGAAATCACACTCAGAGTTTCTAAACAGTTACAAAATATGTTAGCCTAAGTTAAGGAAATAAAAGCAGGCTATAATTCTCTGTTTCTTGACACCAGCTGACTCTAATATCTTTATTATCAGTTACTAGATTCCTGGAACCCTTTGTCTCTTTAAGAAAAAAGTGTAGGCACTTGCTTTCATGGTGTTTAGTGTTGTCTCATCTTCCTCTGTAACTACATCTTGGCTTTGTGTATCGCCAGCTAGACTGTTTGCTTGCAAAAGTTCAAACACATAGACCTTTACTAGCTCTGAGACCTTGGGCAAGTCATTACAGCTTTTTCAAACACACTTTTTAAATCTGTAAAGTTGTCTGACATTACCTGCCCCTTATCATACTTACAGATGAAGTAGGATACATGTAAAATGCCTTGTGAAGAGCCTGGTACATGGTGAGCGTTCAGTCAATGAGAGACCCACCCCCACAATTCTTTTGGGTTTTTTTAATACTATTATATATTCACCTATATGTATCTTAGAAGGTCAGAGTTTCAGATTGGGGGGGGGGGGGAGTGTGGAGAGAGAGAATCTTCCATCTGCTGGTTCACTCCCCAAATGGCCAGGCCAAACCTGGAACTTCTTCCAGATCTCCCACGTGGGTGCAGAGACCCAAGCACTTGGGCCATCCTCAGCTGCTTTCCCAGGTGCATTAGAAGGGGAGCAGCCGAGCTGCGAACTAGTACTCATAAAGGATACAGGTGTTGCAGGCAGAGGCTTAACCTACTACATCACAAAATGCCAGCCCCCGAATCTTTGTTCTTGATCAATCCTTTGTGTTTCCTTTCTGCTTTTTATGTTTTCATCCCCTTCTATGATTTATTATTTCACTCTATCCATATCTGTGTCTTTGTTCTTCCTGAATACCTCTGGAAGTTTTAAAAGGGAAATAATTCTACCATTACGCTATTAAAATTCTGGAGACTTTCCTTGTTGGTATATACTGAGGAACAGTTTTCACTTGAGTGGCTATTTCCTTTTATCAGAAACCTCATAAACCAGGTGTTCAGCTTACAAAGTTTCTCTGGATAACTAGACCCAGGTAGAAACGTTCTCATCATAAAGGGAGTAAGATTCCAATTATCTTTTTATCTAAATGATACTTATTCTTAATGGTATATGCTTCATCGTCTTTTTATGCCTCTGTCCACTAAATGCAGAAAATTATAATTATGTGAATAAATTGAAGCCTTAGATTGACATTGGTTCTCACAATTTTCAAGAAATTGTTTTTATATGAGCAATATTGTTCATGATTTTAGGCTTTTCTTCATCTAATAGTATTACATGTTCCTTTTAACATAATGAGTTGCATGACATCAAGGAAAGTGTGAAAACAGAACTTCCAATTTTACCAGGCTGTTCAGGTAGAAACTTGGATATAAACAGGTTAAATCAGACCCACTGAAATCAAATTCTTGATCATTTTGATAGAATGGGGTTCAGATTTTTATCATGTTAGTGTGATATTAATATAAAAAGCACATTCAATGTAATTCATAGGTACAATTCTAAAAATATAATTCCCTCCCTCCCTTCATCTTTCTTATAAAAGTCACAAAGCAGTTTATTCAATTAAAGCACTGTTTTTTATTTTAGTGATTTATTTGTGAAAATGATCAACTTGGAAAGAAAAAAAATACGGATAGAGTCAGGGCCTCAGGAAGTTACCCAGTACATGTTTAAAAAGAGGGGATGTAAAAACGCTCGGCTGTGACAGGAAAACCACAAGCACACCCCGTTGGTCCCACTGTTCGCTGCTGAGGTTGCCTGTGCTTGACCTCTGCCTCAAGTTAGCACAATCACAGCCCGGTCACTGGTTTCCTTTTTGTGTGTTTTGAATGTAGCTTGATTGACTACTTTCTCCATCTACCTCTCAAGTGACCAAAACTAAATTTGACATTTGAGACAGCTTAAGCTTTCTCTTACTTTTCTGTCTTTAAAAACAGATATATGTATCCTCTGGGTCCTGAGAAGTAGCTACATAAAAAACTTCGTTTTCTCAATTTTTCCTTTCTTGGAATATGGCCTCAACATCCTTTCCTTTCTCAGTATAGGATCTCATTACTGTTATCAGTATTCCACTTGCAAAAGGCTTCCAACAGGAAGAGCCTCAAGATACTTATGTTGAATTTCTGAGATTTTCTTCTTTAATCATTGAACAGTAATCATTCAACACAAGTGAAACCTAAAACTGCTCTTTAATTTTAGCGAATACTTGAGTACTTTAAATTGTTACAATCAACAGCCCTACCCCCATTTTTGTCTTCTAATTAGAAATGGCCTCAGTCCTGCACTGAGTATCAGCTACATCGTCACAGGATTTTTTGTTTTATCGTTTTGTTCACTTTTTAAAATTTCTTTGGCATCTTTATGCCTTCCTCTACTGCTTGTTAAAAAAAAAAAAAAAAAAAGCATGAGGATACCACTAGAAAACACCAAAATCTTTCTTTTAGCATTCTGTTCTATTTTGCTTCAACTTCTCATAATTTACTAGAACTGTTTTATCTACTTTAGGGAATAAGTCTATCACCTCTGCTTTGTTTAGAATTCATTAAACAGTGATTGTTAAATGAGATTCTGTAATCCAGTGCAAATGGAAAAAAAATTGATTGCTGAATTAAAACAAGTTGGGACATAATTTAATTAGTACCCAAGCAGAAGGGAAGAGAAACTACTTCAGTGCCTTAATGGAAAATCAATTTTGCAAGAAAATTTCACATTTTTAAGCCTAATTAGAAAAACATTTACTCCACAGGAAAGCATTTGGAGAATACATATTCAATCAAATGGCAAAAGTTTTTTAGCTTCCATGGTCAATTACTAGATACCTCTTTGGAATGGGTTAAAGTCATTATTCCTAAGGCATCTTTGATGCCCAAGGATCGTTAAGGAGCTGATGCTGTTTTAAATACATTTAATGGTCAGATGGGAACTCATGCTCTCCAAGAATCTCCACCCAACAAATCATTGCCCAGATAGGAAATCATTATAAAAGGTTAATTGCAGGG